CTTTCAAACTAACCTTACGTTCCACCTTTCCAAGTACTTATGGTCTCCTTATTCCAAACAACAATGTCTGTTTATTACAGAGGAAAAAGTGCAGATTGTTCTTCAATAGTAACCACTGGCACGCACACAACCTCTGAGAACACGCACATGAGGTTAGGCTTAAGACTGCAGAAGTAAAATGAGGGATATATTACCAATCCAGTCTTCCAGAAGGCCTTTACCTGACATATTTTATAGGAAGCTGGATGTGTCTGGGCATATGCATAAGTATACCTTTATATACTGTTCAAGTGAATAAAATTATTATTTATGTATACAAAATTATATATATATTCTTCAATAATTTCCACATTCAATGACAAAACTAGTGCTATTTTGCTGTTGGTTACATTCATCTAGAATGAAGAAAATGTTCTACAAAGTTGTTTGATGCTCATCATTTGACAGCAGTTACTAGGCCACAATGCCTTGTGTACAAACACTAAACAGAAAAGGGCTCTCCCATAAGACCTTCACTTAGAATACAGCCTTCCCCACCTCTATGCCCTTTTTTTTTTTTTCTTTTTCAAAATAAAAACCCTCCACGTTTGTTCTCAGTATCAAACTTACAGGAAAAAAGACTGATATGGAGAAGCAAAAAAAAATATAGTTAACCTTGCCTTATAACTAGAGGACCAATAAAGAGAGGTAGTTAGCTTACTCTTCACTGTCTAATTATGGAATGATCTGCTAAGGAAAAAAAAAATACAGAATACAATAGTTCTGCTACAATCTGTGCTGCTCTGATAAATAAAGCAACACTGCTCACAGCTTCTCATCACGCAAGAAATGACCTTTGCAGTCTTCTGAGCTGTCACCCACCCAAGCACACTGTACATACAAACCAGTTAGCAAAATGTGACCCCAGCTGTTAAACATGCTGCCCAAAACACATCTGTGGTAATGCTAATAGCAGGTGTTAGTGAGCTGTCAACACTGGTCTTCAGGACATCATAGCAGCTGTATTATTTCATTTGAACGGGTGTGAGAGAACGAGATCCCTCAAGAGAAAAGCTCCACCTATAGAAAGCAACATGGTAACTGCTCCAAAGCAAGTGGCTAGAATGGATCCCTTATCAGCCTGCTTGAACACGACTGGGGCCTCAACCCTGTCAGCACAGTGCTGAACAATGATCCAGGAAAAATACATTAACCTCCTTAAAGATAATAGGTCCTGAGTTCAACATGACCATTTCTAGCCTCAGAATCCTGGATTTTCAGAATGCCTTGGTGAATTGAAACACATCATTCAAGCCCTCAGAAGAACACAACTGTATTTTTACATGTATGTGTGTGGAATTCTGTGAGGAGATACAGTACTTCCACATACAATATACACTTGCAAAATATAAAAACATTTCATTTTTGTGAGTGTTAAGACATTCATTATTTGTTGTGTCCAAATTACACTCTACCTCTACATTCTAGGACTTCTGGTATAACATTCAGTCTCAAGTAAGTACATACCAATATGTGTGTTGGGGAAAAATGAGGGAAAGGGAGAGAGAAATGGCTATACATTTACTTTTTCCCTGGTTAGCACTATTTTCATACATGTTCTTCATCTTCCCAAATGAGATCTCTTACTTCGAGGTAGTTGCTCCTCCAATCAGCAAAGGAATCTTTATTGCCAATCTCTCCATTTCCTTGGCGACAAAAATCATTTCATCCAAAGAAGGTGTGATGAGACCAGACAGGCCAATTATATCTATTGCAAATTTACAAACACATATACAAAACATTTAGCAAATCCACTCTGCAAACACACTAATTATTACAGAAAGGTTTCTTCCATGCATCAGATAGCTTCATGCATCAGATAGCTTCATGCATCAGCTAGATAACAGTGAGATAAAAAGCTGCATCATCGCTAGTCTAGAAACAAGGTTTGACCTAATTAGAAAGTGAAAACTTCCCAAGAATGAAAGTGACTCCAAATCCCCAGTTTAAAATATTTCTCTAACAGTCTTCACAGCTAAACACCTGCTTCTCTAGGTTTCAGCAATAAATATACAGTACTTCTGATTAGCAAGCTTCAAACCTCAGACATTTGGCAACGAGGAGGGAAATATGACAAAATAATTGTAAGCCCTGCTCTCAGAAACAGCAAATGCTTTCAGACTTCACTGCCTATGTTCCACACAATTCATCTTTTCCAGGATGCAACAGACTGCTTCAAAGCAACTGTAACTTGTTTCAGAAAGTTCATTATTTATTAGAAGAATCCATTCCTGATTTCACACTCACTGATCTGGCAGGCTGAAAGCCAAATTCTTTTGCTGATTTAAGACACAGCATGAAGTTATTCAACCTTTCTATGTCTCCATTTACTCATCTGTAAAATGAGTACTCTTTGAGCTGTCCTCCTGACACAGGTCTTGGGATAAGTTTCACGAAGGATGAAATACTACATTATATTGTTAACGCAAAAGTTCTAATTTATCTGATGATAGTCTGATCAAATCATAGCAATGCAATGACAGGAATGCAATGAGGGGCAAATAAAAAAAAAAAATGCAAGTGGGGTTTAAAATAAAACAGTTCGGGAGTACTAATGAAAACTCTCTATACCTGCTTTGTTCTCAACAGCAGCTCTCAATATCTTATCACATGGAGTCATGACTCCTAAATCAATAACTCTGTGAAAAGAAGTGAGATGACACAAGATTCTTTAAACCACAGGTCAAATTTCTGCCAAAGGGCAAACACACTGCTCTTATTGTAAATGCCTGACCTAAAATTAAGATGTATGCTTGTTTGTTTCTCTTATATTCTCTTGGGAATTTTAACATAGGGCTCTGGCAAAATTTTCAATATATCAGAGTTCCAGATGACACAGGAGACAAAAAATTCAAACGTAAGAGGCTTTTTAAAAAAAAAAAAAAAAATTAATTTTGTTTGTTTGTTTGTTTTTGTGCCAAGTCTGCCTGAGATGGAGTCAATTTTCTTCATAGCAGCTGGTATAGTGCTGTGTTTCAGAACTGTGACCAAAACAATGCTGATAACACATTAATGTTTTAACTGTTGTTTAACAGCAGCCAGCACCAAGGCCTTCTCTGCCTCCCAATCTTAATACTCCAGGGAACAGACTGGGAGATACCCAATAGGGTGGGAGTTGACACAACCAGGCAGCTGACACAAACTAACCCAACAAGTATTTAATGGCATATGACGTCATGCTCAGCAATAAAAGAGAGAGGAAGGATTTTAGCAAGGGTTAGCCACATTTTGCTTGGGAACTGGCTAGGCATCAGTCTATTCATGGAGGTGGCAAGTGGCTGCCTTTCCACCCTTTGTGGTTTTTTCTTTCTCTATTTTTCCACTTCTCCTTCAATTCTTAAACATTTTTTATCTCCACCCACAATTTTTCTTGCTTTTATTCTTCCCTTCCTCTTTCCTCATGCCAGTGAGGTTGTCTGGGTGGTGTTTAGCTGCCTGTCAGGGTTAACCAATAGCAGTGGCATTTCTGAAGTTATCTGAACAATACAAAAAAGTTTTACGGACATAAGATGAGTGACACAAAGGGGTTTTTTGTCTTATTAAAGCACACATTTTACAAAATGAGACACCACATTTCCCTCACTAGAATTTTACTCTTACTAACCCTAGCCATAGCCAAGGGTATTATTTTTTTCAGGTAGGCCACCCCAGCCTGCTAGCTTCTTCCAGCCTCACTGATACTCATGGTGACAGAAAACACTATGGCTTCAGTTCAGTAAGTCTAAAGAAAGCTCAACAAAATCTGATTTTGTTGACAGAAAGTGACAGAACTTCAAGAGGTAATGAAACTGAATATACTGCATACACACAGCACTGATAGTGACTTCAAGCCTTTCTGTTTTAAAATAAAGAGATAATATTGGTTCCTTTCAGACCAAATTACAGCCACAAGTGAAAAAAGAAAAAAAACTGAAATAATGAACAGCAAGACAAAGTTCCAAAGCAGATCCAGCTTTGCACATTTGACAGACACTTGACAAAGGGCTTTGATGGAAATGTGACTATTCATTCCAACACTATTGCCAACCCTGCTGCATGTACACAGGCCGTGAAAGACTTGACTTTTTTGAAAGTTCTATCATCTGAAGCTCAGAAATGGGACAAGAATCTCATCTGTTATTTAACAAAACATAACCCAGCAAGTCTTCAAAGCCTCATAGTTAAACAGCTTGAAAAACATGCTAAAAGGTTCATTTGACTCTTACAAGACTTCCTTTTCCCAACACAACAAAACCCACATGTAGTCTTGTATACTGCAATTGTTGTATTTGATTTCTTCGGCCATTTTAAGTTTACAATGTTATACGTAATATATTTAACTAATATAAAACAAATTTAAAAAAAAAAAAAAAGTAAATGCTCTCATCTACATTTCAGTTGATAATGAACTGTACTCTCCAGAGATGCCAGCTTATTAGGAAAAAAAGTAATAAAGGAGGCAGCTATACTCCCTCTTGCCCCCTTTAGTAATAAATAGCTGGTGTGATTTGTGTTCCCGACAACAACGTGGAGAACAGATGACAGTTCCCAAGAAATGTCCACCTTTTATCACCACAGCTGCAGCTAGCCTAATACATTTGCCACCTAGCCTTACAGAGTTGTGTCCCCAGCCACGTGATGTTAGGTGTTTTACCGGAAGTTGTTGCAGCCCAGAACGACTCCCACAATGTTCTTGCCAATATCGTGCACATCTCCCTTCACGGTTGCTAGCACTATTGTACCGTGATATGGGTCCTGAAAGTCAAACAAATCACACAAGTTATTACCAGGAAGCCTCAGTATGTTTATACACATCCTTCAATAGTGCAACGCTAACCCATGACCAAGACTCCTACTGTACTACAAGTAATTGCAAAGAGTAGTATTGTCAATATCATCAATATTAAAAAAAAAAAAAAAAATTAAATATCCAGGCAATAAAAACTTGCATACGAATTGTTCTTGCAAATTGTGTACAAGTTTTCAAAAATCTGTGTTTAAAAGACAAATCAGTACATAAATTTTAGATCTGGATAGTGTTTTACACAGTGCAGTAACTGAACTCAAGGTACCTCTGCTCCAAATATAAACCTCACCAATAGGGTTTAAAGAGATTAAATATTTAGAACAAAAGGGTATGAACACTCATAATTACATGCCTGTTTGTGCATCAAGAACAGTCTTTCAATGCAATGCTGAGAAGAATGAGAGAAATTAGCAAAAGCTGAAGAGAGTAATTTTTTTATGCACACAAATGGCTAGGGAGACATTTCAGTGTAGTGATCAGGCTATTTCAGTCTAACCAAGCTGAACAAAGAGGCAGGAAAAGAGATCTCCCTGAAGAAGATACCCTTGCACTGTCAAAAACTGGTCCTAGGCTAGGCAGTGTTCAGCCTTGACAAAGGGGGCCCACCAGCAGGGCAACAGTGGGACTTCCTGGAGCAATTCTCCACCAGGACACAGGCCTCTGCGATACAGTTTTAGCTGTCTAATCAGTGTTGTCATTTAGAGCAGCTCCAGGCTATCACAGTGCCATGTTTGAGTTGGTGCGGGATCAGATGCCAGTAATAGACTACTTAAATTCCAAAGAATTCAAATAAAGTGGAAACCTGAGCACATTTTATGTGACGCTATTTTTCCAGACAGTAGCTCATCTCCTTTGCACATGGCAGAACTGGAGGATTAGATGCTTCAGTGAAGCATGTTTTATTCCTGGATAGTATCAAACAGCTCTCTACTTCATGAACCTACACTGCCTCCTATAGTTGTGATTTTCTGGGGGAAAAATACTTTATAGACTACCAAGAGTGGTACTAGCATTTCCTACGGTCCTAACATAGTTGTTGAACAAAATCCCTGGATACCCACCAATGCTGCTGTTTACTAAAATCTGTGACCTTCCTAGTACTCCTGGTTTACACAAGACTAGGGAACAGAGAAAGCAAAACAGATGTCTGTAGTCAGTCATCTCAGTACATCAATTTTAAAAAGTTGAAAATACACTGCTGGAACATAACAGAAAACTGGGGAAAGATTAATCATGGACTGGGGCAACACCAAAAAGTGCTGTCCACAGGTACCATACCAAATAACTACTAATGATTTAACTAGTGATTGATAAGCATAAAAAAGACCAAAGAACAAATTTGGATTTGCACACAAGAAGGAAAATCTGTGCTGGGCAGCAAATAACATGGGCCAGAGCACACGTCATTTTAAATAAACCCTATTTAGGAGACACTGTGATTTCAGTTGTCTCAAGCAAGAAGGTCCTCAAGTTCTGGGCACTCATCCAAAAAGCCTTTTTTTTTTTTAATCTTGATAGACATCCACAGCCACAGCTATTTATCCTCAAATGTAACGATCAACACTTTGCATTTCCTGGCAGTCTATGACTAAAACTGTCCTGGAGGTTACACTAGCCTGGGTAATATCAGACAGATCAGCTACCAGAATCTGCAAATCATTTTCCTTCAAGTCAACTTCTAACTTGACATAGGTGCAGCTGTTTTTAACTCTCCTGCCAGTTCTCTATACAGTGATATTTTTTTGAAGAGGAAGGCAATACATCCCTTACCCAGCAGAAGGTACAGGAAGCAAAACTCCCACTTTTTCTCTCCTGCTCTCCTCAGCCACACAAAATAACTCACAATCTCTTTAGAGTGCTTGCTATACTTTTAAGAACCTTTCAAAAGTCCACTTCTTTTTAGCCAGAGAATTAAGTGCCAGAGAATTCACAGTAGAACCTAATCCAATGCCCATGGAATCAACAGGGTAATGATTTTCACTGACTTCAAATAGCAACAGAAGTGCCAAATACTGGCAGTATCATCTGAATTAAAATTAAAAAGAACAGCATGAGCAGGAGAGAGATGACACAGAAAGGTGACTCATGACAGCCAGAGAACAGATCCGCTTAAGATACCGGAGAGAAGACACCTTCACAGCCAGAAAGGGCACGGAAAAAGAGACTAGGTATTCTACTTCTTGTATTAAGATTCATTGGGTTTGATTACCAGGTCATTTTTCTTTCCAAATAATTTGCTGTATTTATTACATTTATGCTGGACAATCACAGAACAGATCCACAGCAAATGGAAAGATATAGTGCAAGAAGATTGCAAAGGAAGAATTAAGAATCATTCAAAAATCCACAGAAAGGAAACCAAAGGAAATACAGAGAAATTCTGCTATTCTTCCTTTTCCATCTGTGTTAAATACCAGACTCTGATAACAGCTATTGTCTCTAAGAACTCATGAAGACAAGGTAAGATTCTACAGATTCTTTGACTATCAAATTCAGGTTTGATGTATAAGAGAAGAACAATGTTTAACCACCGTAAGCACATATCAAGTTATAAATATAGTAGGAAAAAGAAGACCTGAGTATTTAAACGATGATTCTGTCCAATTCATCTGAACCCTCTTCTCTATTGAGAAATCAGTATCTCCAAGTCAGCATGGAGAAACAAGGGACATCCTACATCATCCTTTTCCAATGCTCCTATCATACATTCAATTAGCCAAATTGAATGAAATTACTTCAAGTATACGCATATGTAGTTGAGAAAACTATTCTCAGGCATCACCAATCATTGGCTGTGAAACAGGAAATGCCACAAAGGAAACGTTCACAAAGATCTGAAAAATCACTGGACGTTTTCAATTATATATATTTAATGCATTACATAAAAAGTAGTTTTCAGAATCTGGTGGAAAAACACATACGAAAAGACAACTATATTCAGACTCTGTTTTCATAAACACTTGTGCCCTGCAACACGGTCAAGACAACACAGGCAATAAGCACACCATTTTATCATAACAGGAGGTCTTGAAGTCACTATCTATGAAAAAAAGGATGGAAGTATTTGGTTTGTTTGGCTGGGAGAATGGTCAAGGCTAGAGGGAAGGCAAAAGCTGAATAAAAAGAAAGATGGTAACAAGGCTTTGAACATGCAAAAGGGAGTTCTAGAGCTCACTGAGGGAGAAGTCATAGAAGCAACTGGCAAAATTTAGCATAAAGTTACAGGTATCACAAACAGCTAATACTAGAAATAAATGCCTACAAAAAAATATAAGAAATAAGTAACACTGGTAGGTATTAAGGGCCTACGAAGGCTTCTGGCACCCTTCAGGAAACTTGTGACGACAGCTTAAGCACACATCAAGGCCAGTTCCTCAAAATCTGCCCTTTATCAATTTTAGACCTACTTCAAATTATGCCAAGATTGCCAGTTGCCACATGACTGCATCAGCTCTCCAGCATGAAAGCTGAACGAACCTCATTAGCAAAAAGTAACTTCAATTTTTGTCATGGCATGCTATGAAAGAGTTGAAGCACAAAGGACTGTGTCTTACCTCTTCCTCTGTGCTGCCTTGTTGGGCTCTCCTTTCCTCTCTTTCTTTTTCCATATAGGGGATAAGGTGGCCAACTGCTTTCTTCATAACTCGAGCAGACTTTATCACCTGCATAGATAAGTGGAGTCAGGGGAAATAAAAATGGAAGAGCAGGTATTGAAACAGGCTCAGATTTCTCTTAGCTTTCTTTTATACTCATTCAAACAATAAACAAAACTTCATTTGCAAACCCTGATTCCAGCTTTGCAGAGCAGTGTGCTGACCCTGCGGGACTACACACGGCGCCCGGTTTCACAGCACAACCTCCCAAACCACTCACCACAGAATGGGAAGCTACAAACAGGCCCAGACATGGAAGGTGCTACACGCAGCAGTTTTTATCCGCATCTTTTTTCTATCTTGCCCTTTTTCACAGACCCAGACTTAAAACTGCATTGCAAATAAAGCAAAAAATACTCAGGAAGAAAGGAAACCAACATGTAAAACTACACAAAATTCCAAAGTAAAGAAAAACTAGCTTCTTAGCAACATCTGAATTTTCACAATTTATGTGCTATGTCTGAAAAAACAGCCAGCATAGAATGTTTGGGCTACGTTTTAAAATGCTAGTTTTTGCAAAATAGGACAACATATGAAATTATTTTCTCATTACCTGAGGCAGAAACATCTTTCCAGCACCAAAAAGATCACCAACAATTTTCATGCCATTCATCAAAGGCCCTTCAATTACATTTAAAGGTCTAGGATATTTTTCCCGATTTAATCTTGCTTCTTCTGTATCCGCAGTGACATACTTCTCCACGCCCTGGCAAACAAAATGAGAAGCGTTTATCTTGCTAGAAATACAGCTTTTATTTAGTTGCCTGTGGCCCTCCTCCCCCCCCCAAAAAAAAAAATAAAAAACAAAAACACACAACCAAAGTAAGAACAGATACTTCAACTAGAGCTAGACTTTAGGAATACCTCAAATGTGTATTTAAAATGGGTTTCCCTAGGAAACAAAACACTGTTCTTAGGCATACAAAGTTATTCAAAGCAAGAGCCCTCAGTATTAACAGATTTGTTGGTTTTTCTTAACCATGTCATAACAAACGCATTCGAAGATTGCTTCCTCAGCACAAGCGTCACTCAGTGAGATACTGTTAAAAGGCAAAAAATCCCTGGAAAGTAAAAGAAACATGCTACAAAGTAAAACCACTATGTTCCTATCAGCACTAGTGACAAAAATGAAGGCTCAAAGGCTTCAGCTTGTGAGGTTTAATGACAGATCACCACAATTTTCTCTGTTACTCAAGTTCATTAAATATATTAAATTTATTATTAATTCTTAATAATATATCAATTAAACATATCATTCATTATTAATAGCTTTTAAAAGAATGGCAGTTGAAGAATTTTTAAAGCCACAAGTGTCCCTTAAAGTCAGAGCTGAGACCGTGTCTCTGAGAGCCGATGAGTGTGACAGTTTTCTGCACAGGCTCACCTTTATAAGGGCATATTCCAGCCTCTCCTCCACGGAGCTTTTCCGCCACTCATCAGTCTGCACAACTTTTTTTCCTCCTTGGGCATGATTCTAAAAGGAAAGAGATCCCAGGAGCATGCAAGCATAAGAAGTATGGACTTTGAGGAAAGTGTGGAAAATTTCAAGCACTGATCCATAAAATAATTCCAGACTATTCAAAGTTTTTTATATACATGCAAGTCATACTGCAAGCACCTGTCATGTACTGTAGACACTTAGGGGGTCGTCCTGGTTTGAGACAGAACAGAACTGATTCTGTTTAGTGATTTGACTTTTCACCTCTGTCTCTTCTAAGTAACTGCATTGTCTGAAGTTAACAGCAGATTTTCACAGACAGCGTCTGCTTCTAGCAGTGATAATGCACCATGTTACCACCAAGGATGGTGTGCAGACCCAGGTCACTGATAAATCTTGTGTGCCACATTCGGGGTACACAGTAAAAGACCAGACCCACAGGAAGAAACAGGACAGGTGATCCTAAACTGACCAATGAGCTATTTCATCCCATAATGTCACATTCACCATAAAGCTGAGGGATCATGAGGGTCAAGCTTTTTTTGTCAATGGTTGGCATCTGAGGAGGACTGTCTGCCATCCACCTCAATCCATGTGTTCCTGAGTCCAGCTCCAGAAACCAGCTCCAGAATCAGGCTCCCATCTGTCTGCTCCACAGCATCAGTGGTGGCAGTGAAGTCACTGGCAGAGGGTGTGGGATGGGGGCTGGGTTCCATAATGGTTTTGTATATATTTGTGTGCATTTCATTTTATTGTCATTTTCCTTAAAGCTGTTTTAGTTTCTTTTATAATCCATAAGCCTCTCTCCCTTATGCCCTTTCTCTTCCCCTTTGGGGAGGGAGAGGGGTTAATAGAGAGCATCAGTCACTCATCTAGTGGCCAGCCAGGCCTAGCCCTTGACAGAGGTCTTATGACCCCATCTGTTGTATGTACCTTAATGAGGATGTAAACAAAAAGTACTAAGGAGAAAAAAAAAAAAAAAAGACGGAGCAGTTTAATAGTTTTCGTGCTCTTAAAAATTGTTGAAATGACTAATCCTAGGGGTTTTACTTCTGGGAATGTAATTTAAATTGATTTCTGGCCCACACACTACAATTAATTTTAAAATTCTAATTAATTTGGCACTAATTCAGTTTCTGCTGGAATAGGTTGTTATTCCCTATCACAGAGGTGTTTTCAATGAGGTGACCTGCAAAACTACTGTTTCTGCACACAGACTGTCCCAGACCCTCAGATATTCTCTTTGCCTCATGCTCACACCCACTTTTGCTACAAATGCAAAGGCCAAAAGGGCTTCACGGTGCAAGAAAGGTTGTAAGCACCCACCCCAGAAAGGCTCGTGGAAGAGCACCCTCTCCAATATTTCACTCACCACACTCCAGGCAAGTAATTGTTTTTCCTCCCTCGGTGATTCAATATAATCCAACATCTTTCAGCCCTTATGAGCCTCCTATACTTTTGGGTGCTTATCAGCAAATGTTTAAAGATCAAGCCATGGGAAAAGCCACAGAAACAATATCTCACTCATGGGAACAGAAACCACAACAAGTTTTCACCCATGTTTATACAAATGTTAGCCAACTTCACAGCTTCTCACTGCCGAATCCCATTCCCCTCACAGGTCTAATCTGTAAAAGGGGAAAGGAGGAAAATGCTGCCCAGAGAGGCAGTAGTCTCTGACCTTAGTTACATTAAAAGCCCAACCACACTTGTCCCTGAGCAACCTGCTCTTTCTGACCCTGCTCTGAGCAAGGGGGTTGTACTAGATGATCTTCAGAGATCTTCTATGATTCAACGAAAAGGCACCAAGTGCTTTTCAACATCTGGCCAGACACTTTAGCAAAGCAACCATTCCAACCTAAAAGTAACCCAAGAAGCTGTAGCGTGGGCATGCAGGGACCACAGTGGCAGGCACTATATGCAGATCTTTAAAGAAGGATGATTATACTGCATGGCAAAGATGAAAAAAAACCTGCCTCTGGAAGCACAAATCCCACTGCCACAAATGGGACAAAGGTTCAATTTGAGAATGTCTGCAGCTATACACTTTATGAAAAAATGTTTTTTTTAGTCTCAATCTTCAAATGAAGACTGATCTAAGTCTGCAAGGATTAAGTTGCTAGTTTTTCCCCACAACAACTAGCAAGGTACATAAGTATTATCTAAAGGGACTAGGAGGAAACTTGTCTGGTGTTCTAACAGAGATGTGATACCTGAAATGGGACTGCACATTCTATCTTCTCTGTGCAGACTAAACAGCAGTAATTTGAAATAAAAAAACATGCATACTCCCTGACTAATGAATACACTTTTGTGTCAAAAAAACCCCTTGGACAGTAGAACTTAGAGCCATTCATTCCACTACATTAGAGGAAGGTCTGAATAAATAATTTGAAATATGCAGCAGACTCCAAAATATGACGCAATTCTCCTTCTCACTGGCCCTAAGTGACTATTTATTTGGACTTATTTGTCTAGAGCCAAGATGAAACAAATCAGGACACTTATCAATGAAAACTCGAAAGTTGTCGTATTTTCTGTTAAATTTTAATAGAGTCTTTAAAGACGTTGTAAATCAAGACTGTCTCTTTCTTGCAACTGGGGGCTGTTTCACTCCCATAATAAAATCACCAACATGAATAACATCAGAGATCCCAACAGTGGCTTCCCAAACTTCTAGGCCTAGGAGAAGTCATCATTCATTTCTATTTTTCATGCTCCATTTAAGTTCACATTCTGCCTTCAGCAAAAACACTGCTTAAGCAGTCCCTTTCTAATTACAGAATCACAGAATCAGAGAGTGGCAGGGGTTGGAAGTGACCTCTGGAGGTTATCTAGCCCAAGCCCCCTGCTAAAGCAAGTTTACCTAAAGCAGATTGCACAGGGTTGCATCCAGGCAGGTTTTGAAGATGTCCTGAGAAAGACTGCACAACCTCTCTGGGCAGCCTGGTCCAGCATTCTGTCACCCTCAAATGAAGGAAGTCTTTCCTCACATTCAGATGGAATTTCTTGTGTTGCAGGTCATTCCTGTTGGCCCTTGTCCTGTCACTGGGCACCACTGAAAACAGTCTGGCCCCATCCTCTTGACACCCACCCCCTAGATATTATAAGCGCTAATAAAACCTCCACTCAGTCTTCTCCAGGCTAAACAGACCCAGTTCTCTCAGTCTTTCCTCATGACAGAGATGTTCCAGTTCCTTAATCATCCTCATAGCCCTCTACTGAACTCTCTCCAGTAGTTCCTCATCTCTCAAACTTGGAAGTCCAGAACTGGAAACCACAGTTCAGATGTGGTCTTACTAGAGCAGAGTAGAGGCAGGGGAAAATCTCCCTCAACCTGCTGGCCACACTCTTCTTAATGCACCCCAGGCTACCATTGGCCTTCTTGGCCACAAAGACACACACTGCTGGCTCATGGTTAACTTGTCATCCACCAGGTCTCCTGGGCCCTTCTCTGCAGAGCTGCTTTCCAGTTGGTCAGCCCCTAGCCTGTACTGGTGCACGGGGTTATTCCTCCCCACGTGCAAGACTCTACGCTTGCCCTTGTTGAACTTCATTAGCTTTCTCTCCGTCCAACTCTTCAGCCTGTCCAGGTCTCACTGAATGGCAGCACAGCCTTCTGGAGTGTCTGCCACTCCTCCCAGTTTTGTATCATTTGTAGCATCAACAGACTTGCTTGGGGTAAACTCTGTCCCTTCATGCAGGTCACTGATGAATATGTTTAACCAACTGGACCTGCTACTGCCCTCTGGGGAACTCCGCTAGCTACAGGCCAACAACTAGACTGTGCTGCTGATCACAACTCTGAGCTCTGTTGATTAGCCACTTCTCAATCCACCTCACTGTCCAATCATCTAACCCATGCTTCCCAAGCTTGCATATAAAGGTATTATGGTGACAGTGTCAAAAGCCTTGCTAAAGTCAGTGTAGACAACATCCCCTACTCTCCCCTCATCTATCCAGACAGCCAGTTTCCTTTCTTTCTTCCTCCTTATGCAGCCCTACACACCCTAATCGTAAAACTGTTTACACAGAAAAGATCACTTCTAGATGAATTGCTTAGACACTAAGAGAATCATCTAAAATAGCCTAAGCACAAGGGATCGAGTCTTCCTGCACTGGTTTTCCACATGTTGCTGTTATTCCTGATAAGCACACAACCACAGGGCAAACTACAAACCAGATGAAGCTGTGCACAGAAATAATACCTCCAGAAGCTACAACACTGCACATGCAAATATTCTTGTGTGTTTAAATCTAAAGGGCCACTTAACGCAGAGAAATATTTGCTTTATGTTCTGTTCAGAACAGGATTTCACCAGTTATGTTACGGATGATAATCTGGAAACCTTCAGATGTGCATTCTTTGTCTTTTGTCACTACCATCACGATCCCATTCAAAACCACTAAATAGTTGATCTTCACTCTTGACAACAGTTACATGGACTGGAAGCCTATGGCACAGCCAGAAATGGCAGGCAACTATTTTTACATATACTCCAGGCAAACCATTAACACCAGAGAGACAGATTTACTCTTCATCTTCCACAGCACACTTGTCAAGTGCTTTGCTTTGGTTGTGGGTTGGATTTTTCAGGTTTTTGTTTGGGTTTTTTTTTGTTCGTGAAGTGGTATTTTTTTTGTTTGGGAGGAGTTCGGTTGATATTTTTTGCTTCTTATTCACTTGGGGGTTTGGGTTTTTTTTGGTTGGTTGGTTGGTTTTGATTTTTATTTTGGTTTGTTTTTTTAAAGAACACCTATGCAGCTTGGTCTCCTGAAGCACACGAAGAACTGTGATGCAGGATCTTTCAAGGTACATATGAAACTGGAGAGGCTCGATCTGCCGCAGAGTTCACACTTTATTCTATAGTAACTGAACCACTTGCACTATCATTACTAACTTCTAATACCTATTGTTAGATTGACATGCAGTTTATAGGCTGTTCTAGCTAACATCAGCAGGGAGCTGTTAAAGACCATGTGCTAACTACGATTCTAAGCTTAAACTTGGAAGTTACCTGAGCATAAAGTAAAAGTTTCTCTGTTGCATCAGGATCTTTGTTCCAGATGAGATTCTCACACAGCTGTAGCAGTTCCTTGTGGATATCATCATACACTGGCAGGTTCCCAGCATTCACAATTCCCATGTCCATGCCATACTGAAAAAAAGGTACAGAATTCCCCAGCCAGGGCTGTCACGCGTACCACTGCATATCTGCCAAGTGCAAACATATGGAGGCCAAAAGCATGTCGTACCTTAATTGCGTGGTAAAGGAACACCCCATGCATTGCTTCTCGAATGGCATCCATTCCTCGAAAGGAGAAAGACAGATTGGAAAGACCTCCACTGATCCTGGCTCCTGGTAGTGTTTCCTATAGGAATCACACACGGATTTACAGAAAGCTGCTTTCCAAAAAGGAAACCTAAGCCAAGCATCCAGTCCATAACACAGTTGGCTCCTGAGCTATGGTGAATTGGCTCTGCACCCTTTCTCTCTTGTTCTTCTGTTCCAGATGCTTCTAGTCACTCAAATTCATAAAAAGCAATTCAAATCTCTATTGAAAAAGATACAAGGAAAAATCCAGCCTAATTATCTGTAAGCAACTATCATGGTTTCCGGTCATAGATGCTGTTCTAAACGTATCAGCCCTCCCACAGCAGCCCTCCAGATATTCCCCATGCAGACCTAGTTATGGCTCTTCCATCCTCAGCTCCTCTGGAACAGGAGCTTGTGTACCTCAGGAGCAGACTGTAACTGAGCAGCTAACCTGAAAGGTGCCACCTCCCTTCCAGAAGCCCTGCAGTGACAACAGCCCAGACTGCTACTGACAAAGTTTCTCCCCACCAATCAAGTTGCCTTGTGAAAAAAGAAAACAGTGCCGCTTCCTTGGCTGTATTCAGATTATGATGCTCCTCACACATTTTGGCTGAACAGAAAGTCAGGTTACTGCATAAATCCCTTCCACAGAAATCGAAATTTCATTAATTTTAACAGGCAGCTTTCCTGTACCTTCAAAGAGGTCCTTTTAGCTAGAACAAGAATGTGACTGTTGCCTCAATTAATATAGTATATTTACAGTAGAGATAATGGATTGAAATTTATTTATAGAACTATTTGAAGTTCCTCTATTGGAAATATAGCATTACTGGGGACTGGCTGCACTTCAGAGGAATAGTCTCCCTTGCTAATTTAAAACATGTACCATCTTGCAGCAGTGTTTTCTTGCTGCTGTTGTTTGGGGAAGGGCTGGGGAGTGTTCCATTTCGTGGTGTTTTGGGCTTTTAGGTAATCTCGGCAAAATACTTCAAGTTAAAATAAGCTTACAACTCACTTTTATGGTTTTAGTAGCACTGATAAAATTCATGGCATACAGGTTATGTTCTTCCATTCCAGTTCCTATGGTCAAAATATTGGGGTCAAATATTATATCATTTGGATTGAAGCGCACTTTTTCCACAAGGAGGTGATAAGCTCTGGAACAGATTGCAATCTTGGTTTCTGTTTCTGTTGCCTAGTGAAGAAAAAGAATACTAACATGAAACTTACAGAGAACAGAAAAAATAAACTCCCCAGGAATCACTTATGGCTCTATTGACTCAAGACTGAGAATTTGACCATCACAAATACTAGAAAAGGATTCTATGTAAGCATTTGGTATTAAAAATATCACCACATCTGTACCTGGAGTTTTGACTCAAGTCATTACAACTTTGTTCCTCAACATTCCACCATCCCATGCAAAGTCTAATACATAGTTTTTGACATGACTAAATTACGTCACAAAGATTCCAATTCTTATGCAAAACTCAGTTTCTGAACTAAAACCAACAATTTTCTGTGAAGGAAGGAAGAGTTCAGCATAGCTGAATAGCAACAAAAGACATGCTCTTGTGCTAGCAGAGTGACACTTGGAGCAGTGCTTGGATTGCTCAAACGTGAGCAGTGTAAGAAATGCTTACGCATCAGGCTCTACACTGTTGCCAAGACTATACAGACCTCTTTGAATCACCTGCACCAATGAAACAGAACAACTTTGTCTCACACAAGACTAAGAAAGCCTTGCACAGCAGAAGAAAAATACCTCCCCTTCAAAGTGATACTCACCTGCCCCACTTCATCAAAAGCCATGACAACCACAGCTGCTCCATACAACTTAATTTTTCTTGCTTTCTCCAAAAAGTCTTCCTCACCTTCCTTCAAACTGATGCTGTTGACAATGCACTTCCCTTGGCAACATTTCAAACCTGCTTCAATCACTGAAAAATTTGAGGAATCGATGCACAATGGCACCTGTAAAAAACAAAGAAGTAAGCCAGGGAAATACATACCAGTTTTGAATTAGAGTTCCACTGACTGTTTGCCCATTTAAACATCAAAATGAAGAAACATTAATCAGCATTTAACAATAAAAAGTTTCCAGATGGCATTTGTAGGTTCACTTTGCTTTAAAGACAAAACTCAGAGGAAATTTAACTGAAGAGCTTCTGTGTTAACTCCATCATGTATCATATAGAGATCTTCACTTCTCCCTGTTTTGTCTGGTGTTTCTGTATTAGATACTCATTTTTAGAGAATACACATTCCGTAACTATCTTTCAAAACCACCCTACATCCATAGCAATTTTAAGTTTCATGGAAAGCAATAATGTTACACACTGCCAATATATAGACTATGGCTCCTAAGTGCTGCAAAAGGAACCTGCATTCAGCTCTTCTGACAAGTGAAAAGGACTGGCACACATTTAGCTGAAACCAAATACAGAATTTTAAAACCTCTGTTTCCTCCAAAGGCCTTCCCTATCACAGTACCTCTTCCTCTTGGGGGACACCTACATCTGCTTATTAAGGAGCTAAACTGGTTACTAAATAAATCAATATCAAAATTTTCGGAAAGGAAATTTCCAACCCAATAAAATGCTCTTTATTGTGCTTTGGAGTGAGTAAACTACAACCTTTGCAATATCAGGTTCAGAAGAAATCAAGTTACAAAATCTGGTCATTGCAGCAGGGCCATCCAGCATCCCATCATCCATATTGATGTCAAGAACCTGGGCCCCCATCTCAACTTGCAATTTGGCTACACTCAGGGCTTCCTAAAGAAGAAAGTCAAAACCCAAAACAACAGTCAGTAGAAAACAAAAGCCTAGTCATTCTCAGGACAACATTTCACTTCAAAATATGCATGCAAACAAAAAATAAAAAACTTGTAAGACATCCCACAAGAAAATAAGGAAATGGTCTGTGATGTACAACAAGGTACAAAAGTTGTCAGCATGGCACAACTGATAATTAATTTGTTCACAAGAACATGACACCAGAGACCTGATGTGCTGGTAGTGTCAATAATTTTAGACAGTTGGAAATATGCTTAATTGAACAATTTAGGATTTGCACGGTAACAAGGACATCTGACTGCAGATTACAGGAAAAGTCTTAGTGATGGTATGACATAAGGGTCTTGCATCACAAGCTCTGCTGTTTTATAACATGGAGTACTTTATTTTTGGAAGTTGTTTGACATCTTTGTTTGCAGCTGCAGAATAATCACCAAGTGTTCAGAAGGAAATACTGAAGCTTTCCCTCCAGCCCACATAATTATCTGAACATCCATGCTTGTTTGCTGTCTCTTTTGTCACTCTGGAGACTGAGGTTTTTGGTTGCTCACAGTCCCTAACAACCTGTGTCTAAAGCTCTTTTTAATTCGTCTAACCAGCCTCATGACCTCTAAGAGCTTAAGAGTCAGATTCTCTTAAAAAACGAACTAAGGCTTTAATTTTGATTGCATCAATTAGAACAGCAGAGCGTACTCTGGAGAGAGTCTCAGCTCTCAAGAAATGTCACTTTCCTATTTGATTGAATATTACAGTAGCAATTTACACAACTAAAGAATGAGCCCTCCAGCTTCTTATTTCTGCCCTGCAGATGTTTCAAGAAAGCAACTACCTTCTAAGCCCCTGTTTCGGTAGCAATTCTCATGTAGCATGCTGGTGTCAGTTGTCTGTACACAAAGATTAGATGCAACCATAATGTTAACCAGGATTGGAGAAGGGAGGGGAAAAAAGTGAGAGCTGCACAGTACCACAATTTATCCCAAATCAGACATACCCCACATATTGGAAGGAGGGATTACACCCAGTTTCCTTCCTCCCTGCATGTAAATCCATTCCTAAATACAGCACAGACCAGGATGTTTTCTAAACCATCATCAGCTGTGTAACTCAATTCAAAATGGAAAACCATTTTTCCTGTAACACTTGTCAAAAAAAAAAAAGTGCCCTTGTAAGATTCTTCTCACAAATTTACTGAAGCTGGTAAGCACAGAAACAAAAGATGGTGAGAAAGTAAGTTTTCCTTGTTTTCTTAGTCTTGTAACTGGTGGGGAATAAGGTTTTGTGCCAGCCAAACAAACAACTCATAATGCAGTGCAATGGAACAATGACAAATCAGAGCATCAGCTATAAAGATTATTGTTAAATGTATACTTCATAGTTGCCTGCCATGATGAGTTTCGCAAACTTCCTTGATCCTGCCACATTGCAGCGTTCGCCAATGTTAACAAAGTTGGTGTATGGCCCAATCCTGAATGGCTCCAGACCTTAAAGAGATATATTTCAACATATTTGTAAAAAAATAAACTTAGAAGAAAGACAAAATCCCTTTTCTAAACTGTGAAAGAGGTGTCTCTAAGAATAGTGATTTATCAGCACATTAGGATGTGCACAAATCTAGTAACTAGCAAGGAAATGCAATTCTACTGTTCCTCAACGACAGTCAATAATTTACATGACCCACTAAAAATAACAGCCAAATTGTCCACTATAAAATTACATGAAGCTACAGTTCTTTAGGCATCTGTGTGTATGCACATACACACCTTTTCTCAACTTGCAACTGTGCTAACTCACTCATGACTCTACCACCACCAGAGAAGAAGCCCACTGAACTGAGCGACAAACAAGGACAACACTTAACCACATACTCAAGTTCAGGGAAACAAGCTAAGTGAGACCCTTGGGGAGCAGGTAACTCAGAGGCAAACAAATGTTACAGCAGAACAGAATAAGCTAATGTATCAAACCACAGGCCACTCATGACTTAAATTTAACTTATGCTGAAGTGATTTGACTTTGAGACTAAAAAACCAGACCAAAACAAAGGTACTGGTTTACTTGGATACATGTCCCAAAGGCTTAAAACAAAGTCTGTCTGAGGAACATACAGATCTAGATTTTGCTAAAACAAAAGACATTGTAGACCTGGATGTATTGCTGGAACACTGTCCTAGCATGACTGTATTGACCTCTGAGGCAACACTAAGCAGCTCTCTCACAGCAGGTGAATTAGGATCCCATCCCAGCTCTGCCATCAACTGCAGTTCGATGACCTGATATGTCTGTGCTTGACCGTCTCCCTGTTGCAATGTGAGGATAGAGGTACTTGCTCACCATTAAAAAGTGTCTGAGACTTGCAGAGTAAAATATGCTGGCTTGGCTATATTCTACGAGATTGTAATAAAATGTTCCATTAATCCTTTGGCCAAAGCAGTAAGATTTAGATCTGGTTACACATCCATAAGCTTGCTGGATTCAGGTAGAACCAGAAACCTATAGTGTTGTTCTAAACCACAGAAACCAGCAAATAAATTTATAAAGGAAGGTTATATGCATTATAAAGCTCAAACTGTCACACTCCATTTTACCTGACAGCAGCATGTATCCTTGAGAGGGAGAAGGTGGAACGCGAGGTTTACAGAATTTCACAGCTTCGGCAATTTTCCTGAGTTACAGAAAGAGGAAAGTAGAGATAACGTTTTCGATTAAACCACGCCAGACAAGACTCAGTACACAACAGGCATATACCTGTGTCTTCAATCCAGCCCTGTAGCAGACAAGACCAATTAGACAGTTTCACTTTGCGTGGCCAAAGCAAAAACATACTCCCAGAAGATCCTCACAGCTATCTGCAGGCAACGTACAAAGCTGAAGACTTATCAAATGCAGAAGGCGAGATGCTATGCCAATGGGATGCCTGATGGGTATCACAAACAGTCCTCAACCACACTGACTCTTACTGTGCTCAGGATTTGCTGAGCTGAGCAATTGCTAATGACTGCAGCCAAAAAAAACAAGGGACACACATTGTTCTGTGCTGAGACAGGTTTCTCGGATGCCAGAATGACTCACGGTGTTCATGTTCACTTTCTCTTGACTCCAGTCAGGAGCGACCCATGGTGTCCTCTACATGACCACATACCACTTCTTCCCAGTTTGTGTCAGGTAAAAATGAATCATAAGGGCCCCTTCTCTTTGAAGCCCTGGTGGAAAAGGGAGGTTTTTCCCACTGACCTGCTTCCAGTGAGAAAGATATGAAATGCTCCTTCTGACTGGCCAGGACTAGCACCAGCAATACAGCATTCCCAGATCTCCTGTTCAGATATTTCCCCTCAACACCCACACATCTTCCTTCCTTCTACCATCAAAGCAAGTCTTAAGATTCACCTTGTGGCTAGGAGTGCCAGAAAGAGAAAGAACATACAGCATAAAGGAGCGAAATGGGAAGTCTATTCTATCCAACAGTAAAGAAGGAAGAATAATTCCAGAACAATTTCAGATGACAAAAATCAAGGGTATAATCCTTGTTTGAGCCATGTCTCAATCTTCATGATATGCACAGCTATTCTACTCCATATATTGCTACTGGCATTCAAGTGATCCATCTTTCCAGAAAACTCGAAGACAAGTCATGGAATATTGCTCCACAGAAGCAGCACTTGATTTACTTCCCAGTGTACCTAAAGTTGTAGCTCATGAGGTACCTGATATGTGCTGGTGTAGTACCACAGCATCCTCCAACTATGTTGACCAAGCCATCCAAAGCAAAGTTCTGTAAAAGGGAAGGAAAGAGAATTTTGGTTTAAGTTAATAAAGGTATCTTTTTTTATATACATTTTTATATAAATATATACTTTAATATTTATATTTTTTCTCCTCCATATATTAAGCAGTTCAGGGGGGTCACAAGAAAAAAAATTAAATTAAGAAAGAATCAGTACTATTTCTTCTTTTTAGGATTGTCTTTGAGATGTGGATTCCCACGGCTCATCAGCAATTTTAAATTTCCTAATTTTAGGAAACTACATTTGAAACTGGCCTATTTAATACTGAAGCCCCAGATGAACACTTGGGTATCAAAGACTAGTCATATTGTATTATAAAAAAGAACTAACACGCAGCAGTAACTGCATCCTTGCTGAGACTCTGCAGCTCCATCCATGTAGTTCTGACTTGCACAGATCAAGTGGCATGTAGAAGGACACCCTGTACCGGAACATCCCCACCATCAGTGGCTCCTGTACACACAACTCTCTGAAATTCCTGCTAAGTTCATAAAAACCACTCATCTTTTTGAACAATTTCCAAATGTAAATTAAGAACATAGGAGTGCAAATGAGTAACATCCATAGATCAAGCTGCAGGAAAACTACTCAGTGTAGGACATGAAAGTAATTAAGGTTTTCAGAGTCTCCTACATAGTTTTTTGTAACCTGACATCTCAAATCAGTATCATTCAGCAAATTGTCTATAAACAGTCCCAGTAACATACAAAGCCATTTGAGGAAAAAAAATTTTTAAAAACCCAACATAATACTAACAAATTCAAGCAAAGAATTCTTGTCTAGTAGCATGCCAGATATTATATACTCTAGAGAAATATTTCATACCTTTATATGCTTGGCAGTCACTTCTGGAGTTTCATCATAACCACCAAAAGTATTGGGAAGACCTTGAAACGTAATTTTTCTAGTATTACCATTTGTTTAAGGTCCACAAGAACAAAACTGAAGACATTTAAAGCAGCTACACTAAAATGCCTCATCACCCTTGCAGTCATTACTCAATAGATGATTACTATGCAAGAGAGCATTCTGGGTTCACTGTCACACAAGTAACAAGTTACTTTTACCATTTAAAAATACTCTTAATCTCTTTTTAATAGCACAAACAATCACCTTTTCAAGCTAATGCAACTCTACTACTGCTAATGAGATGGAATGGTTTAGTTACACCTCACATGCCTGTAAGCACAGGGACATGTGTAGCAACACACCTGCATTGGGGTAACAGATGATGTAGGCTGTTGTACAGCTTCCAATTGCCTCAATGAAGGGTCGCATTTCAACTGCCCCTAAAGCACAATTTAAGCCAATACTGGAAAATAAATGTTCAAACATTATTTTGAAGTAAAAACGCCTTTTACACACAAAACAAACAAATGTTAGTCCTGGCAACTGCTAACTCTCGCACTCATCTATAACAAAACAAACCTGATCTCCAATTTCTTTACTCATCATCATCACCACAGCAAGACTGTGAAAAGGAGAACCTTCGGGTGGAAGAAAAGAGCAGGAGGGTTGGGGGCTGGACTGAATTGAACTGGGGACGGTAAATCAAGATTTCATTTCAAAATCCAGAAGGGAAGTGGCAGCATTTTGACAGCAACACAACAGCTCTGTATTTTCTAGGTAAGAGAGAGAACAAATGGAATGAGAATGACAGAGTGGAAAGGAGCCTTGTGCTACAGGAAGAAGTAGGGAAAAGGTTGAAAAAGCAAGATCTGCTTAAAAGCCACTAGCTTGCCATTGTCTTTTAAAACGACAAATTATATCAACCTTGGAAGAAATCAAGTGCTTCCCCCAAGATGCCTCATGGCAGCACTAACCTTGGGCAACAAAACCTTTCTTCCAATAGATTAGGGGTGGCTGTGTGGGAAAGGTGGTACTATATGTTTGTTTTGTCAAACAGTAAGCTTCACCTTCACAGCCCTTTTTGTAATCCACCTTATATGGGCCATTCTATTTTAACAGAAAAACCTTAAAAGAACCCTTTTATTCTCATTTCCCTATTCAGTGTCTACATACATTTAAATCCTTCATACAGATCCCCTGGATACAAAGAGCATGCACAGGGAATAAACAATTAATTACAGCAAGGAGGTTCTTCAACTCATTTCGGAATCAAGGCTCATCCTTCAGGATTTTCAAAGCAAAGCAAGGTAAAATCAACAAGATTGTCTATATCACATGCAGATGAATGCAATGTATTTCCTACTGCTAAGTCATTCAATCTACAAGCTTCCAGAGCTCACACTCCCTGAGGCCTCTTTTCAACCTCCCTCCTGTATTAGGCAGCTTCATCGCTCCCTTCCCCATTTAATGTTCATCTGCCTATAGTTCCAAGTACAAACTGACCTGTCACTCTTTTTACCTCACCCTAACAGAGAGATACTGTAAAAGCAGCCAGTAAACAAGTGCTTCATGATGTTCACTTGACTTACTGGGTACTGGCTGCTCAGCCTGTCTGAATTATTTTACTCACCACAAGGGTTGCTCGTATCATGAAGTGTAGGGATAGGACAAGGTGTAACAGTTTCAGACTGAAAGAGGGTAGATTCAGCTTAGATATTACGAAGAAATTCTTTACTGTGAGGGAGATGAGACATTGGAATAGGTTGCCCAGAGAGGCTGTGGATGCCCCTCCCTGGAACTGTTTCAGGCCAGGCTGGATGGGGCTTTGAGCTACTTGATCTAGTAGAAGACTTACATGCCCATGGCTGGTGGGTTGGAACTAGATGAACTTTGAAGTCCTTTCCAAACCAAACCATTCTATGATTCTATGAAATATATCTATGAGCACAACATCATCCTAGCATTTCCCATTTCAAAACTGACAAGTCAAACTAAGCACAGACAGGCACATTCATTCAGAAACAAAAGTAGCTTCTGTACCCAGATTGTTGGTATGCTATCACTGCTACCCTAGTGTAGTAACTGTCACATCCTCATCTTAAACATCACCTCCCTTCCCTTGCTCATTTCCTCACAGCAGTCACACATCAACTCCTGTGAAAGCCAAGGCTGCAAAGTGCCATTGGGACCACCACAAACGCCACATTAGGGCCCTAAATTCAGCATGTGTCTTCTTAATGCTACCACGGTTGAAACAATCACAGGATCCAAAATAACGTGAATGGAACTCATGCCACATCTTAGCACCTTTCACAGTGAAGAGCTTGCCATGCATCTTTCAGTATATACTGAACATAGTTAATGAGTTTCTCAGCTACTACTCGTATCAACCAGACAAAGCACACACTTTTTAAGGGAGGACTCCAAAGAAAACTGTCTTTAGGGCAACACATCACCTTAGGTAAGACATAAAAAACCCAAATGGAAACATAGGAACAAGTATAACATGATCCCTAGGATGCTATTACAATCAGCTTTTTCACAACCCTGAAGCCACTCTGTACCAATTTGGCAACAGAAACATTAAATGCAAGCTGCTCCCACAACTAAGACCCTTCTGCCACAGTGCTGTGTAGCAGCCTTCACACAAATGAGAAACAGGCCCTAAGCATTCAGAACCATAAGATAGCTTCTATAAAATGTGGTTTAATAAATTCTTGGTTTCTGCTCCAGTGCCCTTCTCTCTTCTTCAGAGGCAAGAGAGTTATGAGCAAGATTATCTGAGACAGACTCATGCCAAATATGGATCACCAGGCTGTGATGCTGAGAGAAGGAGTCAACTACCACCCTGTTCCAAGAGGCTCCATATGTCACTTCTGGAGCACCGTCTGGTCTGGGAAAGTGGAGCCTCAAGGGCAGTCAGGAAAGCTGTGAATGCAGTCTTCCGCTTTTGTATCACTGAGATGACAGATTGCGTCGTTTAGCTGGAATTTTGTTTTAAAAACAAGCAATGGCTTGTCACAATGTGCATGGCATCCAGTGGTAACAGTGAATTAAATGTTTCAAGTTTGAATATTCGGGGGGGGGGGGCAGGGAAATCTATTCCATTTTAAGTTTTTGTGTGGAAAAACCAACCAGAAAGAAAAAAATGGTAAAGAGGGAAGAGGAGATAAGGAGGTAGAACAAGGTATTCAAGTTAACATGCAAAATCTTGCACAATAAATAACCAAAATCTGCTATATTATGCACTTTCACAGCTCTTGATCTCATACTTATTTCAACTTTTCTCCCTGAACTGAAGAGAATGCAACTAAATGGAGGCACCAGAGCTTTCAGAACAACAATCCACATCCTTGGGAAAAAACACCCAGGGAATATATACATTCTTGTAAGAGTTCAGCAAAAAGAACACTGGAATCAAATCTTAGGATTTGCTCTTTCAAACCACCCTGAAATATTCTGAGCTGTCACTGCTTCCCTCTAAGAAACAGATGTCCCCTCTGCCCATACCAGGAATTAGTTCCCTGAACAATCTGAGACTGTAAGAGATGGAAAGCTACAGTTTCAGAATCATTTTTTTTAATGCTTTGACCATTTTGTGATGTCAGAGGCCATTGCAAACACAAAACCCCAGAACAGAGCAATGTTTTCAAAATTCAGCATTCTTTGGAAACAATTTCTGAGGGAATGAGAGCAGAACACCTTAGCAATACAGGTGATTAAAAATGATAATTACTATAACTTCCATTTAGCTGAAAGCAAGGGGTTAAAATAGAAAAAAAATGAAGATCTACAGATAACTTAATAAAAGACAGAGAAATTTTCTTACCAAAGTGGCTTACTGTGGGAAACACTAATGACAAACGCTTCTGCTGTCTGGCCTGAGAGGGTGCGCCCACTCTTATCCACAATGGTTCCAGAAACCTAAATATCAGTTGAACACAGAGGAAGTAGAATTAACAATAAACCCAAGACCTTAAATGGCTGAAATGCTAAAAAGTCAAGGCAGAGGGACCTGTACTCCATTTAAAGTGGAAAAATTAAACCCTTTCCTCCCTATAAACATTTAAATATTTAGCTAAGGAAAAGGCAAACTTTAAACCACTCCTTTTTCCCTCTCTCCCCCATCTCAGGGAGAGAAAAAGGAAAAAAGAAAACAAAAAAAAGATAAAGCTACCACGAAGCATTCAGCAGCAAGGTAGCATTAGTACCACGGTATCATTCTGATATTCTGTTTAAGTAGTTATCAGCTGTCACAGCTCCATCTCCTATCCTCCTCATCTTCTCTACCTCCCCTTTTATGTTATTTCAGGTCCCAGGACTGTTATTAAGTTGTTTGGTGGTGGTGGTTGAGTGAGAGAGGAGGGGCTGGCCTTAAAATAAGTTACTCCTTTTGCCACAATGGAACACCAGATGTTGCAGCTTCATAGTGGAGACAGAAGTCTCAACCTGTATAATCATATATCTCTTTAGTACTATACAGAGAGACATGCGCAGATAATAAATAATGTCTTGACTCCAACTAACAACTACTAAGCTACAAATTCCGGAAGCATCTGAATGAGCCAGAGAAGCCTTCCCAAATCAACATATCTTTTTTCCAGAAGATGGAATGCGTTTAGAAGACTCCATGCAAATGCAGATCCATTATTTATCCAAAACATGCTTTAATATTGATGCTACTTTCCTTCAAACTACTCGGTCAAGGGAGGTGATGAATGGAATCCTAGAGAGGCTGTGCTAGGGGTTGTACTTCTCAACATAACTGAATTGGAAAGGGAGCAGAGAATGAGACAACCAAGCTCACTGACGACGCTGTTCAGGACAACAAAGACAAAGTCAACTCCACATAATCAGAAAACTCTCAGTGCTAACTGACTCAGATGATGAAAAAGTGGAAACTCATTGCTGGTCAAGTGCAAAGTTGCAAATACAGGAAAAATTCTATATGATGATACCTCCAAACTAGTCTTTACTGCTCAATAAATTAATCTGAGTAACAAAAGAAAGTTTTATGAATGCAATTTCAATCTCATTAGCCATAAAGTAAAGAGTCAGGAACTGCAAAAAAAAGAAATGGACATGGCAAAGAACATCACTAGGCTGCACTTTGACTGATGTATGTTATTCTAATTGTCCACTGACTCAAGGAAGTGGAAAACAAAAAGGCGACAGCAATAATGAATGACAGAGAGCAGCTAAACAGAAAAGACTCTTCAGGATGAAAAAAGGTGACAAAAGAAAGATCTCACAGAGGACTACAAATGCCATGGCTATTCAGCAAAGGGAAAATGGAACAGCTGCTCATTGTCACTTTTGAGAGACACATGGCAAGACACAAAATAGTTATTGGGTGGAATGTCCAAAAGTAAACTTTCAAACCAACGCATTCATAAGCTGCAAAAGCTACCAACAAGATTATTTTGTGGATACCCGAGTCCCACGCAGGTTTGAACATAGGTTCAAGGAAGGAGTAAACACATTCATCAAATACAAATTGCAGATCAGAAAGCCTGGACTGAAAACTGCAGAAAACTCAAAGAATACATTAGAACTTGAAAAAGAAGTGCTTCTTTTCTATATTCGTTTCATGACTGCCTGCTGTTAGAAAGAGACATGTCAGAAAGAATATGGAGTTAGACAGACCTTTTCTGACTGCAAATGGCCACAAAATTCTACTTGAAAATACGGTAGAATTTGCTTAATTTCATCCTTGAAGCACTAGTTCTCACTACCCTTAAGATAGCAAGCCCAAGCAAAAAAATCACCATCAAACTTTTTCTGTGGAAATACACAGAATGAACACCCATTGGAATGAAGATTTCAGACTTATAAGCTAGACAGAGCTACCCAACCTGATTTCACATAAAGCTCTTTGCAGAAAAGTTTGTCCTTTCACTATCATGTGAAAAAAGCACGTTTTCAAGATACTTATTTCCTTTATTTCAGAATACTTTAAACCAACTGCCATCTCAGCTACTTAACAACTCAAACTTAAGTATATGTAAAATATTAAACAATGTATACTTACAAATATGGGTCGAGGAGCATACTCTTCCTCAAACAAAGTCTGGAGTGCAAAAAGAGCTGCCTATAAAAAAAATAAGTTGCAAAGTATAAGTGGCTGTTTTGTGAGTTCTTAATTTGGTTGGTTTTTGGTTTGGGGGGCTTTTCTTGGGGTGGAATATGGGTGGGTGTTGCTATTTTTTATTATTTTTTTACTGTTTATGCAACTTGCTACCTCATATGGCCTGAAAGAACTTGGTACACTCAAGAGGTTTTACCCTTAACCCTAACATCTTCCAGACATTCCAAAACACATTTTGGTGACAAGTGCAAAGGAAGTACCATGAGGTAACCGAATACGACTAAGACTACTCTGAAACTCTATTCACACTGGCATGTGTGTCTCCCTCATGTCCACAGCACAAGCCCCACCCCAGACAGTTCTATGTACTATTCTCAGTACACATTCACTGGCCTTAAGTCTGTTCAGACATGCAGTTTGCAAAGAATTCTGACCACCACAAATTTTAATTTCCAAGGGGTCACTGCAGTGACCCCTTGGAAGCTCATGAAAATTTCCCGCACCCTTACGGTAAGAAAGTTGCACATGAATGTGAGCTCAGCACTGTGTTAACCCTGTGGGATGCTGGCAAAACCTCCACTATAATTGGTGAAATCTGAAAAGGGCAAGTTATGCCACTGCACACATGCATCAGCCAGGGACAGAAGCCTAAAGAAATGCTGTGTGCAAACCCAGCCAGACTTTTCTCTGTAAAACCACAAGAGAGTTTTAAGTGCCCTAACAACTCTACCACTTGAACTGTGCAATTATTAGATAAAGAAACAAGTGTCAAAATCACAGAAACCGTAACATATTTCAACATTTTATTCCTTTTATTTTACCTTTCTAATCCTCTACTCCCAATTGTTCTTTTTTAAAGCGGATGGCAGAGTGTAAGAGATGCTCAAAACCCCACATTTTAACAGGACTGTCTCACAAACCCTCCCACACCTGCAATCAGATACACTGCACATACCCTTTTCAGTATGCCTCACAAGCATCCTTTGGACAGACAAGCTTATGCTGAAAAATACAAACATCAGATGCACTTGGAGATGTTTTGCAATACAGCAGAGCTTCTGGGAATAAGAGGACAGCTGGCACAGGCAGCCAGAAAGATACTGATGGCACATATTAAAAGGCAAAGGAAAACCTTTGGAAAAGACCGATTAGAAACCATGTCCTTACATTCTACCTGTTCACTATCAACTGAAGATTTTTTTCCTGTATTTAGTAAGCAGTAGCTGATAGCTCTTACAAGTACTGTGTTGAATTTCCTTAGGTTGTACACCAAATTTTCTATTACCAGTATATTTTTTTTTGCCAGGAGTCTCACCTTGGCATTGGCTGTATCAAATATTGTTTCCACTAACAAGATATCAACTCCTCCATCCAAAAGTCCTTTGGCTTGTTCCTTATAGGCTTCAACCAGTTCATCAAAAGCTGTAAAACAGGAATGATGTCTGTTTCATCTGGAGGTATCTCTTTCAAGACCATCACCTACATTAAATAACTTGATGGTTACCAATACTTACTTATGTTCCTGTAATCCGGTCTCTCCACAGATGGTGACACAGAGAGTGTTCTGTTTGTTGGACCCATGGCTCCAGCAACATATCTCCTAATTCCTGAACCAAGAACCAAGACACAGGAGAAGGAAAAAAACAAAAACAGACAAATCCACAAAACAATTTACCTCTGGTTTTACAATAACAGCTATATCCATGTAAAAAGCCTTCAAGGACACCAAGACATACAAGACATTCAGGGATGAAGAACTATAAAGAACAGGAGACTCCTGTCCCAAATGAAGAGTTTGTTCAGCGCAAGATTACCCAGAGCAGCTGACATTTTGTTTTAATCCTATCCAACAAGGTGTTCAGTGCAGACACTGAACGTAAAGCCCAGAAGGTACAAGACTGCACATTTACAGATGATAGTCACACGCTAAGCACATTCCAGTAGTTGCTGAGTAACGTCAAACCATGAGACTTAAACTAGGAGTTACTGGTATTCCACATTTACCTACAGACAGTTATCCTAATTCTTTGGTACAAAGGCTTGTGTCGTACAAATATAAGTGACTTTAAACAGTCCCTGATGAATATTTTTTTCTCTAAAACACAGCAGAAAGATGTGTATCACTCTCAGTCTAAAATGGGCAGGCACAGGACAGTCACCCTGCAAACATGCTGAAATTAGTGTGATATGAATAGAGATGTGAAATTGCTACTGTACCTAAACTGGCTGTCTGTAAGTTATGTCCCTGTGATGTAAACCATCAGGCTATCCCCTGGTTAGCAACGTTTCAATGATTGGAGCAAGACAGTCAAAACCACAAATGAGCAAGAAATTAAAACAAATACTGCTTACCTGTCTGAGCAGTTACATCATCTGCTGCTTTTCTGGCCACCTGTGCAGAGACTCTGTTTAACCGATATGCCTGGAACAATTACAGAAAATTACCGAGTAACCTTTAGTTCAGTACAGTATAACTCATCCTCAGAGGAACACAATACTCCCACTCAATAGCTCACACTACACTCTGAAGGCTCCCTAAGCCATCCAAATACGTGTAAGCACTCTTACAGAACTTCAAAAGGAAAGGTTCTATACATCTCAGCAACAGCGCTACATGGCAGGTCTCATCCCATGTATGCCCCAGTCTACAGCTGCTAATCACAAAATTTCATTCTGTAAGGTACTAATTAAACCCCGCTGAAGTCAACAGGAGCTGAAGAACAGCACTTTGAGGACAAAATTAACCTACCTTTAAATTCACTTTTTATTCAAGTAGCACATTTCCAAGTATTTTCTTACGCATTTCTCAGCTTCTCAAAGCAACACATACACAGAATAGCTATGACAAATGCAGGCCTGAAAGGATGTCTACATACACCAGCACAAACAGCACAGAAATAATATCCCAATAAAAAGTAGCTCCACTGTAGCATTTGGCAAGTTGAACGGACTGAAGCAAAACATTCTTGTTCACAGACATGAAACATTCTGCAAATGCTCAAAAAAAAACCTAGGACAAACTATTATTGTCTGTGACTTGGTCAACAGTAGGTGCACTATGACCATCACACACAGCAAGTGCAATTGTCCACAGCAGCAGAAATGAGCTACAACCCCATCCCATGGCTCAAGAGGCAGCAGGCGGTCAATAAACAGAGTATCAATGGACTCTGAGAGCAAGTTAATCCTGCCTGCTAAGACAAAAATCTTGATTAATATTTTAATGTGTAAATAGTTTAGCATTCTTACCAAATGCTCAAGGCCATAGTCAGCTTGTGCAACACGGGTGCTGCTGAAAGTGTTAGTTTCAATGATGTCAGCGCCCGACAGCAAGTATTCCTGCAAGACATGAATGAAAAAAACTCAAAAAAAACAAGAACAGAGATATGAAGTGAAAGCAACCTAACTACTTTGTCTCACTCAGTTGACAATCACAAATCATCTCCTCATTTAAAGTAAACTCTGAAGGCCTTACTCAAAGGCACAGGGCCAAAGTAACAGAACTGTCCCACAGAACCAATTTCCGGAGTTTTCACCTCAGCCACGCTTTCTATTACCAGATGACATTTCTAGAGTCACCTCCACCCTTGAGTCCAGCACCTGGAGCACATTCTGGATTTCTGCATGGGGACACAGTTGGATGCAATCCAATTGCCACCAGCAAGCGAGGGCTGCTGTGGGCAGGCTCAGAAAAGGCACCAGTTAAACAACAGCTGATTAGGAAATTTAAACGTTCTGAAGGGAGCTGTACAGCACAAGCACACACTGGACAGCACACAAGCTTAGGAGAATCATGTTTTGTGCAGATCACATTTAAAGTTTAACTAATGGCCCAGATTCACAAAACAATTAAGCCTTCTTTCCCCTTCGGGTTGTCCAATGCCCACTGAATTAAGCTGCGATCAATGCATATGGAAACATTTTTGCAGATTGTAGTCTGCCAACCTCAAGGAAATTAAGACATCTGAAGTGCTAGTAAGTAAAAAATACTGAAGTGGCCATTAACAGAAGACACTAAGGTTTTTCCACATGAAGCAGATGAGCTCAGTGGGATCAACAGGGCAAATAAAGACTTGATCCAAACAAGCAAAAAAGAATTATATTTGCTTTAAAATGTGCTTTGCTGCAAACTAACAGACTTCCTCTCAGTTCCTCCTGGGTACACATGGAAATACCTACAAACAGCTACATGAAAATGCACAAGTTCTTACAAGCACATTAACAACAAAGTAACAGAGTTTATGAAAATTATACAGACTAAAGAAAGCTGTCAAATCTCTACAGTTTTGTACTAGCTTTTGTTTAGTTCGGATCTGTCATTTTAGCAGAAGCCCTTCAACTTCACTGTCAACCACCACAGAAGCAAATAATATACTCAAAGCAGTAAGATGATTTTTGCCTTTGAAAATACATCACCTCTCTTACCACTGAATCTTACTTTGCCAGACAAGGTACAGCCAACATTTAAACCATACATAGAGTGAGATTACAGTTACTTTGTAGAAATATTTTCATGTATTATTTCAACTTCTGTCTAGTTCTCAGAAAAAATAACCATGCGTAGCTACAAAATATATGGTCATCGCCCATGGCTCAGAAAGCACGGGAAGCACCACAGACTTGTTCTTCTCTTACACTCGTCCTAAAGCACTTACAACTGGCCATAGAAGGGATGATAGCAGGCTACTCAGTTTGACTCAGTACATTCATTCTCAAGTCACATCACTATTGCTCTGCTAAAATTGCAAAATTCAACTGTTAAATCAGCTTACCTGATTTAAAGCACAAGCTATTATAAATTCCAAGGCTCACCACCACTACAGCTCAGTTGACAGTCTGACAGGGACTAAACTCCATCTACAAATATTTCCTTCTGAAATTTTTATAGATCAAAGACTGACTGTTTTCAAATCATCATTCTTCAAATCCAAGGAGCAACGGTTAGAATGTAAATATAAAAATACATATTACATACCAACTTTAACAAACATAAGCCAGTTACAATTCCAAAGAAATGCAGATCTTTTTAATAAATGACTGGAAAAATTCAGAAGTGAAGCTTCAACTGAGTATCAGCTAGTTGCAATGCTATTCAAACATCCCAGTTATTACAGTAACATGTACAAATACCTGCAACTCAAGAAATACAAGGCTTAGGAAGTTGGCCTTTAAAGTCTAATTGAAGATAGGAAAATGATTAAATCTGTTTGCAAACTCCTAATGATCAACCCTAGACCATGTTATTCCCTGGGCCACGCACAAATATTCTATGGGAAAAAAAAAGAACATGGAAGAACATCTATTCATCAGGAAGCCCATGTACTCATTACCCAGGGAGAGGCCTGCTCCAGGCTGCTACATTTAACAGGTCGTCAATACACAGTTATAGAAACACACATCTGAAATTCAGATACATCCTACCTAGATGCATTTCAAGTGCTGGCCTAGGAGGAGAAAAGGAAAGAAAAATCAAATAAATCAGAACTACAATTAATAGAAACACATCAGGGACATTAGTAAAAAAGGGATTTAAAAACAACACTGCCTGGATGACATCAGGAACCGAGACACAAATGCTGTGTTCACACAACCAGAACAGTCAAATCTGCTCATTCTTTTTTGCATGGTTACCTAGCTCTTTCTCCCCTATCCCCAAAAGATGCAGGAGAGACAGTAGCCTGTGGCATAGAAAAGGGGAGGGAAAAGGCTAAATTCTTTTTCCTTCTGTCAAGAGACAGAAATCAGAACCACCGACCTTGTGTATGTCACAGATTATATCAGGCTGAGTTATACTGAGAAGGTCATTATTGCCTTTCAAAGGCCTGGAATGATCTTTAAATTCACACCCTCGGAAATCCTCTTCTGACAGGGCACGTTGCTGGATCATGGTCCCCATGCCACCATCCAAAACCATTATCCGCTCCTGCAGGACTGATTCAATTTCATCTTCCATGCTTTTCTGGGGATCTGCTGTAAGAAAATAAATCCAATATTTAAGCAGCTTTGAAATTTCCCTTCTATACACTTGTGTGACTTGAGCTCTTCCCATTTAAGGAACTGAATAAAGTAATTAATCCTCTACTGCAACCACACAGCAACTGGCTTACTTCACCTACAGCTCCAGCTGCCTGAGGTCAGGTAACAGCTGCATCTAAACAGAATTAGACCAATTAGCATTGAGCCTTCACCTAAGTACAGTCACCTACACACAGTCAGCTCAAGAAAAAAAAGAGTATCAAAAGTTCTTAAGGGCATGCATCAAACTCTCTATATAAACCAATCGCCAACACTGAAAAGTGTCAATTTCCACCACAGCAACATTGGAAGGGCAAGACAGAGCTGCCTCTTGGTACCAGACACCGGGCTGTAAGCAGCACGCAAACACAAACCAGAAACTAGGAAAAGTCATATAAAACAAGCAAACAAAACCTACTTTAACTGCCTACACCATAATGGCACAGAAATAAACTGAGCAAGCAAAAGTCCCTTCTTCAACCGAATCCCAAATTCACTTCTGCATAGGATTATGGTAGTAAATGACTTTGCACTTCTCTTAACAAGCAAACACCAAGACACACCAACAGATAACAGCCAGGTTTTTCCTTCCTTTGCACAAATACAGCAATTTTGATTAAACACCCGTTTTGTATTTTGGTTACATACTATCGTCAAAACACTAGTAAAAATGAATGATCTCTGGAGCACAAAAACACCCTTACATCTCGTTACAACTTACAGTAGTACTTAATCACCGGCAACTGCAAACTCATTTGAATTTTTTCCTTCTGCATTCTTGCAAGACAACTTCTGTTTTGACATTAGGACCATTTAAAAAGAATATGCTGGAGAGAAAATGAGGCCAAGAGCAAAGTATTACAAGGTTACATCTATACCAACACTCTGGAAAAACAGCTCTCATCAGACATAGTCTGGGCAAGAAGAGAAGCCACACAAAATTTGCTCTATAACAAGCATGAAGCATTTGAAGGGAGATTAAAATAAAAAAAAAATTAAAAATAAAAATTAAAAAAAAAAAAAAAACAAACAAAAAAAAAACCAAAAAAAAAAAAAAACACAACACATGCAAGCCACCCTCTTTTCAAGTTGAAAGTTTCAACACCACACAGGCAAGCTCAGCGGGTTCTTACACAAGAGCTTAAACCTACTCACGTTAAACCATCAAATTATTCATGAAAATCAAATCAGCCCTTGAGCTAAAGGCTTTCAGAAGCAAGGCCCAAAAAATTTAATCTGAAAGTATGTCTGCAATGCAGACTCCCACGGAGCACAACTCACGTGCTTTGCAAGAGCTACAACCCAATGAGACACGTACATCAGACCTTGCTTTTGCTTTATGGTAGCCTCCTAAGTCAACTCCTTCAGCCCAGAAAGCTGAGCTGGGCCAGGACAGACCTCCCAGAGCCAGTCCTCCTTTCTACAGGCTTCTGTCCCTTTGGCCTACATGCTTCCCAACTATCTTCTCACACACCAGGAAGCAAACAACGGCTTACAGTTTGGTTTAAAATTCTGCACCTCACGTACCCTGTTTCACTTTCTCTACAGCTTGCCTTGCTGAAGATGCTGCTTCCACGTAGTTCTCTGCTCACAGCCACACAGATTTCTGCCTCATCTCTGCTCCCAGCTCTGAGAATCGTATCCTGAAGAAGCTTTCAAAATCTGTGCTTCAGCAGCAGCATCTGAAAAAGCTGCAGAACAGGGTAGGAACCATAAACGTGGCCATCAGTGCCAGAGGTACACAGACTCTACATTTGACAAATGAATGGCTTAGTTCCAAGGCCACCAAAACCCAATTCACCTGTCCTTGCTATGGCTAACACTGTACTCTTACAGAATCATAGGATCATTTTACTTGGACCAAAAGACCTTAGAGATCATCACGTCCAACAGTTAACCCAGCACTGCCATGTCACCACTAAACCACGTCACTAAGCACCACACTACACATCTTTTAAATACCTCCAGGGATGGTGACTCCACCACTTCCCTGGGCAGCCTGTGCCACTGGTTAACAACCCCTTCTGTGAAGAAATTTTCCTAATATCCAACCTAAACCTTCCTTGACACAACTTGAGGCCATTTCCTCTTCTTCTGTCACTTGTTACCTGGGAGAAAAGACTGACTCCCACCTTACTACAACCTCCCTTCATATAGTTGTAGAGAATGGCGACCAAAGAACCCCAGTGCCCTCATCCACTCCTTCTAAGACTTGTTCTCTAGACCCTACACCAGCTTTGCTGTCCTTTTCTGGACATGCTCCAGTACTTCAATGTCCTTCTTGTACTCAGGGGCCCAAAACTGAACACACCCCTCGATGTGTGGTCTCACCGGTGCAGAGTATGGAAGACAATCACTCCCCTAGTCCTGCTGCCCACAGTTTCTGATACAAGCCAGGATGCTGTTGGCCCTCTTGGCCACCTAGGCACACTGACAGCCCATACTGGCTGCTGACCATCCCCAGGTCCTTTTCTGTCAGGCAGTGTTCCCTGTCCTCGCCTCCCCAAGCCTGTAGCGTTGCATGGGGTTGTTGTGATCCAGGTGCAGGACCCAACACTTGGTCTTGTTGAACCTCATACCACAGGCCTCAGCTCATCAATCCAGCTTGTCCAGATCCCACTGTAGAGCCTCCCGACCCTCAAGCAGATCAACACTCCTGCCCAACTTGGTGTCATCTGAAAACTTGCTGAGGGTGCACTATTTCCTCATCAAGATCATTGATGAAGATATTGAACAGGAGTGGCCCCAGTACTGAGCCCTTGGGAACAGCACCTGTGACCATCGACCAACTGGATTTAAACTCCACTGACCACCACTCTCTGGGCCCGGTCATCCAGCAAAGCATACACCCAGACAAGCCATAAGCAAAAAGTTTCTCCAGCAGAATGGTGCAGGGAAGAGTGCCAAAAGTTTTACTAAACAACATCCACAGCCTTTCCCTCATCTACCAAGCAAGTCTCCTTGTCATGGAAGGAGATCAGGTTAGTCAAGCAGCACCTGCCTTTCATAAACACATGCTGACTGGGTCTGATCACCTGGTTGCCCTCCACGTGTGTGCTGCGTGATAGGACTCATGATAATCTGCTCTATAACCTTCCCTTCTACTTCCATTAGGAGCCAGCATTACTTGAAGCCATGCCTTGGCACACTAATGACGCAATTTTCAATTTGGAAACAAAGTCTGCAGACAGGCCCGAAAGGGCCCCAGAAAAGGAAGAGGATCGATTCATAAAGCCATGCTAGAAAGCACTGAACTGTGCCCTCCTGAGAGAAGCAAGGAGGAAGCTGGGAGTCAGCTCTGATAAACAAGTACTATCATCTTAATCCAGCATTCAACTCACACAATTCCCCTCTCCAGCACAGACAGGGTAGAAGAGTTTGTTAAAGAATAAATTTTAAAAATATTTGGAGAAATTCCTAAAAAGGGAAAAATCAGGTCAGCCTTTTTTTTTTCCCTTGTGTTTTTTTTGTTGTTGCTGTCTGGGGGCTTGTCTGTTTGTTTTGTTTACAAACCCTGCTCCTATCTCTGCTCAGCCAGAAGTTGATTTAAAAAACTATTTTATACAGATCACTGCTGAGCTCTGGGAAGCAGATTCCCTCTTCCCTCTTCCGCTCAGAAGCGTCCAGGAGAAAAACTGCCTCTATAGCTCCTAGCGATACAGTAGCAAACCAGCATTGGTAACAGGACACAGGACTAATTACCTTGATCCTATACTCTACTGAAACTTAAAATACAAAGCTCATTACCACAGAGTGTTCTAGGACTGGAATTAGTTCAGCAGACCATACCAAGACAGAACAAAAGCAACCCAACAGCACTGGCTTAAAAGTCAATGGGACATGGAACACAGAATAAAAAAATCCCAATACCCTACTTCATTTCCCCAACATAAGCACTCTGGCATGAACAAGGGAATTACTAGTCTGGAAAGGAGAAATTCCATCAGCTACAACAACCCCTCCACCTTGTAGATGTTTCCAAGTCTGCATAGAACACAAGGTGTCCCTCTGGTACAGCTGTTCACCCCTACGGTTTACCAACTACAAACTTTGCCTAACTGAGATCTTCCACTTTCACAATGTGGCAACTAAATAGCTCAGGGGATAAGGCAATGGTCCTCCAACTCCTTAGCCCAGCCCAACCCACATACAGGCCAAACGTGCAGAATTGAAGGGATAAATGCATATTCTTCACCAGAAACAGTATTTCCAAGCTTGCAGTTTACTTAAAAGCACATCGTTCTGATGCCTATGATTCTCAAAAAGTGTTTTAATTATTTATGCACTTCTATTAAAAATTTATTCTTAGTATAAAATCGTATGGTATACAAGGACTTGGGAGGGAATAAAGGATTACAAGTTGCTTCCAAAGCTTCTATTAAAGGACCAACCCAGCTGTGGCAAGATTATAGTATTTTTGTCACATTAACAGGAAAGAACACAAAGCGAAGAACTACCAGGAGCCATAGGCACTTACAGTACCCCCTATTTCCTAGGTTGACCAGGTTCTGTCCTAATGTGCAGCATGGCCAGTTCACATTTGCACGTCCCAATTCAGGAAACCAGAACTGCCCCTCACCAGCTCAAAGCAGAAGTTTCTCCATCATTCCAAAAAACTACTGGGCAGCACACAGAAATTACAGCATTAATAGCTAGAAAAGATGCTGCTGCTATCAGCTTGCCACAGACAGGCCATGATAAGCTTAGCATTACTTGCTCGTTTTAACTAAATCTTCTTCAACGGGATGTCCTCCAGTAACATTAACAGTTCCATGAACTGGAGCAACAGATAGAAACAGGTCCTCTACAACAGTGGGCAGCAGCACCCTACTGATAACTTATTTGTTACCCTGCCTATCCAAAGAGAAGAGAATTGGATCTTACCACTTCACCCTGGGTACATATGTGCACCTTGCCAACAGCTGCCATGTCAGCACT